AATATTCTTTCGGTCCTTAATATAGGACCTAATTATTGAGTTGATTTTGATCATATATATAATAATTATTTCTAATATTTATCAAAATTTTCCAAATTACTCCTATGGATATTTCCTCGACCATAATCAAGTAGAAGAGAGAGAGGGAATATTAAGGCAGATGATTATGATGCTTTAGGAAAAATATGTTATATTTCTTATAATTAACTAACTTATCTAACTTCTTTAATTTAATTAAATTAGTTAAATAGGTCTTACATTAAGGATTAGAGGAGTACATCACTATAAATCCATAATACATGATAATGAAAATTTTATTTTTATATAACATATTGAGTTTTTTTAATTAAAAAGTTTTGCAAGATAATAAAGAAAAATTTCTAAAAAATGATCGTTAAATTTCAAAATTCTAAATCAGTGTTGGTGACTACACTCCTAAAAAATGACTATATTAAAAAAGGTAAACAACAACACATTTTTATAGTAATTTCTTATTTAAAATCTTAAAATTTAATAGTATTTTTTTTGGGATTTTCTCGATAATAAACCTCTCACTCGTCTGAAATTCTACTTCTAGTTGAATCTAATTAAAAAATATCAAATATTGAATCATCAATTGATATACTATCTCATTTTTTTAATATAAGAGCTGGTTAACTAATTTGAATAGATTAAAAAAATTATTGAGTTAATTATTTGTAATAATTTGGTGTTGTTTTTTGAAAAATATTCTTACTAATCATGTATTAACTAAAACTACTATGTGATTGAATCTTGGAAAAACCATATTGAAGGTACCTATACTTTCTCTCAATTTTTAATTTGGTACCTATGTGTTTTTTTCCCTTTAATTAAACATTTAATTTTATCTTTTTAGCAACATTACCTCTTATAACTTTGTTCTATTGATATTTTTAGTCTCTACATAAGGATTAATGATGTTAATAAAGAAAAAAATAAAGATTTAGTTAAGAACAAAAAAACATATAAGTACTAAATTGAAAATTGAAAAAAAGTATAGATACCTCCAATATGGTTTTCCCTTGAATCTTTAACATACACAAACTACTACAAGGACTATTTTGAAAAAAATACATAGGCATGAGAAATAAAATAAATTAAAATTTTATATTTAACATAAAAATAAAAATTAAATAATTACTCCCTCCGTTCCTTATTATAAGAGACACTTGATGCTTATGCCATGTTCCTATATATAAGAGACACTTACAAGTTGTCTCTACTTTTTTGTGTTGATTTACTATTTTACCCATATTTATTATCTCCAACTCACATTCTCTCTCCCTCCCACTTCTCTTTCTTTTAATAATTTAATTGTTCTCTCTCATGCTCTCTCTCCTTATTAATGAGGGTATTTTTAGAAAAAAATTATACTTTTTATATATTAATTGTTCTTAACTAACTTTAACTGTTTTTTGATCAACGTATTTCGGTTATTTGTCTCTTATAATAAGAAACGGAGGGAGTATTATATTACGGACCGGAGGGAATACCATATAAAAGCGCAACCGTTTTTTAGTTGCTCAATTGGTTGTCTGGAAATATGTGCTAAACCAAACAACAGTTGAATATTTGTAAAATTTGCACTTTCACACTGGCAGCTTTGCGTGAGATGTCAATGCATAGGGAAACGCATAATTGTACGATTAATGAGAAAAAATATATGAAAAAAGAGATGACACAATTAATTAGAAATAAACTTAATGAAAATACAACCCAAAATGTATCTTGTAGAAAAAAGAGGATTAATTGAAAAATATAAATATAAATCCTATGAAAATGAAAAAAAAGGGGTTGGTTAGTACTGTATATTAGAGTTTAGTGAATGAGGAAACTTAATATAAAATCATTAATTTTATTTTAAAAAAAGATTGAACATGGGACCCATGAAGAGGTGGCGCTGATCATGCCTGGAAATGACCTTGGAATTCGTCAATTCGGTGCTTTGAATATTGGGCCTCCCAGACCCCCACCCACTCCCACCTCCCCACCTGATTGTTTTTGCCTTTTTGGGTTAATATCATTTTATATCCATATAATCTGACGAAATTTAGATTTTAATTGATATAGTTTTTCATTATAATTTTTAATCCTTGTAAAGTATTTTATAAGTATTTGGTCTGAGTTAATGTTATTAATTATTAAGATAAAAAATAAAACTCATTAAAAATATAAAAACTAAAATGAAAACTCGTCTGCTAATAAATTTTGACTTTATTTTTATATTTATGAAGTTATAACGACAAAAAATTATAATTTGAAATTACGCAAACTAAAATCAAAGTTTGAATAAATTATAAGCACCTAAAATGAAGGGATTCAGGGTGTTTGACAACTCTCAAAAGTGTTTCTGACCGCAAAACGAGACAAACTCCTCCACATATTTACTTCGTAAACTGTAAAAGTACTTCTGAAATCACGGTTTGGTTTTCATCCAAACATCCCCTTAATTTCTTACCCTATGTTCTAATTTTCTGTACAGACACGCTGGCAAAACAAAACAAAAAAAATCTGTACAGACACATTTTATTCACTAATTTTTTGTGTGGAAAAAAAAAACAAGTAATGAAGTGTTTTTATTTTTTGGGGGTTCAAACAAGTAATGAAGATTCTAGATGCCAAAATTCCATGCTGTTATCCTCATGTTTTCCCTTTTTTAGCTAATCATCATGATTAATTCATTAATTGTTAAGCATGGTGCAGCATGCTAAATGCTTACGTTAGAATACTATTCATTATTTAACTTTAATTATGTAATATTAATTTCAGTTCTTAATATAAAAACTAAAATTAATTTGAATAAATTAAGAAAATTTGTTAAGTTAGTTATTCGTAATAAATAAGTGTTGTTTTCCCTGAATACCTGTTACTAATAATATGTATTAGCTTGAATTATTATTTAATAAAATTCTTAATATGTATAATTATTATAAGGAAAAAACAGGTACGGGAAACAAAATAAATTAAAGTTATCAGTGAAATGACTTTTTATATTTATATTAAGAATATGAGATAATATGTCATGTTGTCTCTCAAAGCTATCTCTCCTTTATCCCAGTCTGGCATTCTGCGATACTAATAACTAATAATAATGATTACTGATCTTTAATAATGTACTAATTTTGTCGTTCAGACTCCCATTCCTTTCATAAGCTTTGAAATCTTGCAATGGTTAATGTGAAAAAATGTTGAAGAAAAAATTAATTGGTAAATCCCTATAGTTTTACATAATTTTTATCATTCCTGTGAAATTTTTCTCATCAAGTTCTTATAATTTCATAGATTTTTATAGTCTTATGACACAGGAAGCTATAATAACATGATAAAAGAAATAAAGAGACCTAATTAAAAATAAAGTAAGATTATAGGAAACTGAAAATTATTTGTTTTTCAAAACAGGATGGAAAACGAATTTTAAAACTGTGATGAAAAGAATCTTGTGAGATTTCAAACATTTACCTGTGTTGCTTTTTTTTTTTTTTTTATAATTATTTTGAACACCTCCAAAGGTTTACTATTATTTTCTTCAGTCCAAGAGGTTTACATAATGACAACGATGATTAATGTTTTTATTTTTTTAAAAAAGGATGATTAGCTGTTTTTTTTGGCTTGGTCTTAGTGCTTAACAAGCGTGAATAAAGTTCTAAATAATAATTAGGACTGATTCTGAGCTCAAGATGATGCCCTTTGAACTTTCAACTTAAATTAAAAAATTTATTAAAATAATATAGTGGACTATGTTGAAAAATAAAATAAAATAAAAAGTGCAGAGGGATGCAGGACTATTAATATTTAAATATTCTTCATGTGAATTTATTAATGCGTTATACAGACAATGATTCATGTCATTTCTTTGGGAAGAAACAATTAATAATCAGGCCCCAAAAAAAAAAAAAAAACAAGCAGCTAGCAGGGCAAGTATTTAAAGAGATAAATTAAAAGAATAGGTCACACATCAGTAAAAGGAGTAATGAAATTCAAAATAAAGGCCTTAGTAAATATGGATTTTTTTCTCCTTTAATCGGGGCAAAGTGGCTTCTAACTTGTTTTTATTTTTTGGTTTTTTTCAATCCTTAAAACTTTGTTTATTTGTATATTGGGAAAAGTTTAAATGTGCATTCTTAAACAAAGTTTATTTGTTGGCAAAAAAAGTTTATTTATCCTAATACTACTAAGTATTAAGCCAAATAAGAATTTTAAATTTTTGTGATTTTCAATCATTAATATTGTTTAATCTTTTTTTCAATCCTAAATATAGGAAGTAATAACAAATTATTGAGTTATCAGTAACAAGAATAAGAGAGATAGAGAGTACATATTTATTACTCCTCTAGTCCTTAATATAGGACTTAATTATTAAGTTAATTTTGATCCTAAATATAAAATTTATTTCTTATAATTATTAATTTTTTCCAAATTATCTTTATAAATACTTCCTCAACCATAATCAAGTAGAAGAGGGATAGAACATATTAATGAAGATGATTATGGTATTTTAGAAAAACATGTCATATTTTGTTATAATTAACTAACTTATTTAACTTTTTTAATCTAATCAAATTAGTTAAATAAGTATTATATTAAGGACATGAGAAATATTTGACTGAACACTTAAAAATTTCAACAAATATTTTGTGGTAAAAGTGGGTAGGATCTAAATATTTCTCAGAAATTCAAATCCCAACAATGTAATTAAAAAAACACAAAGCAAAGTTTATTTTGTAACAATTGGCGTCATTGGTTGGCCTAAAATTTGACTTCATCTCAGGTGACAGAATAATAAAAAAAATTCTGGTGTGCCAAAAGCCCAAAATTGTGACCGTTCGTCATTATAGATTAACGGTAACATAGTAACAACAAAATATGTGATTAAATTAAATCTGGCAACTTGCTTTTATTTTTTCCCCTGGTAAAAATTGGTAAATGAAAAATAAAATACAGAGACCAAGGAAACCAACTGGGAGCACAGGAGACGAAGACAGAAAGAAAGGAAGAGAAAACGAGAAAGAAAGAGGTTGGAGGAGAAAGGCAGAGATTTCAAACCTTTTGAAAATCTCTAAGACTGCTTTGATCCTTCAACAAGTCTTTCTGTAACCCTAGTTCACTTTCATCTTCCGCAGCATTCTTCGCCTCTTCATACGCAATCATTTCTCCGACGTCAACTTCCTATTCTTCTGCTCGCCGGAAATGTCAGGATCAGCCTCTGCCGGAGCATCCGACGGAGTCACTAGTTAGGGTTTTAGTTTCTTATTGAGGCCTCACCATTATAGATCCCTGTCTGATTACCGAATTGGGCAAAAAAAAAAAAACGATCATAACCGCCTCGTCAGCGCGGGTTGCGGTCGCTGGAATTGTGTTTTGGTGTTGACTTAATTATGGCGAAGGGAGGCCAATGCATTGAGAAGGTTCGGAGGGGCATTTGGATGGTGTTCTTCATGGTGGCAATGCTCGCGTCTTTGCTGGTTACATCGTTGCCGGTGCTCGTGGCGCTTGTTGATGTGTTGGTACCTTGTGTTTTGATCTCCAGCTTTACGTGCGTGAGGTGTTACGATTTTAAAGAACATTTGCGTCGATACACATTCAAGAGTTCCTTGACAGACATTCCCCTCGTTTCTATCATAAGATCTCTCATCATTATATGTATGATTGTTTTCTGTATTTTTTTCCCCTTCCTTTTTATGGTACTTTGTTTACCTTTTTCGGGCATTATGATCGCTCTGGAGCTGGTATTTGCAGGGATGTTAAAGTAATGCTACACTTCTAAATTAGAAGAATTGATTTCCCTTTTATTTTGTCGTGGGGAATACATTGCTTAATTTCTTTTCCAAAGCATTCACCAGTTTGATGATTAAGTTGTGGAAACGAGGAGATAAGTTTCGAAAATCATTTCTCATATGCTGTTAACGTGTCGAAAGAAACTTCCACTATTTTTATATTTCTTTTCCAGATAAGCATCTACAAGTTAATCACAAATCTCAAGCTCACTCGTTTTTTCTTCTTCCATTTCTTACCTTTTGGAATAACTATGTGATGGAATACGGGGCTAAGCTCACTGTGTATCGATGGAAGCGACGGTATTTCATCAGTTTTATGCTCTCTGACTAAAATTTTGTTAGCGTATACACATTGCATAATGAATTTTGTATTTCTCACTATGTATTCTCTCTGTTGGGGATTAGATGTGCAGAATATGTCGAAGAAAATCAGTGGTTCCTTTCCATAATTTAATTCCTGTTCTTTCCAGCCTAACGTTATCATTCTTGCACATTTGCAGGCGTGTATAGCATTTGCGATGGCCCTGCTTTATCACATGGTCCTTACCTTGGAGCCGTCTCTCTGTGTTCCTTTCTCTCAGTTGTTCTTCTTTCAGTAAAAGCTTGTGTTTTCACCGTAAATTCTCACATTGAAGCTGAAGCTGCAGCTTCTCTCTCAAAGCAGAGACTCCATTTGAAGAAGTCATGGGGAATGCCTGTACTTTTCCTCTCATCAGTTGTTTTTGCCCTTGGCCACATTGTGGTAGCTTATAGAACCAGCTGCAGGGCGCGGAGAAAGCTATTGTTTCACCGGGTTGATCCAGAAGCTGTAAGTTTGTGATGGCTATCTTTCTACCCTTTAACTTGAGGTTTGCGCTTGGTAAATTGTTTCTGTAGTTTTGGTTTTCTGGAGGTAAGAGGTTCTGATAATTTGCTTGGTACACAACCTATATGCCATTTTAAGCAGGTACTTTCATGCAAAGTTTTCTCTTGCTATCAGAAGGTCCCACGATCTCCTACTCCTTCTGTAGTGAGAACCCCAAAAAGTGACAGTGAAATGAGACGGAGACCTTTTGGGACAGCTTGTGATGAAGAAATGCCACCCAAATTAGTTGCAGACTCTGACGGCTTATTCATTACATGTCAAGGACTTACAGTCCATTACAAAGTCAGCTTGCCTGGTTCGCCACCACATACCCTGTCCTCTGCATCCATTGTTGAACCAAATTTTAGCAATGTCACTTCATCGGCTGGGGGATTTGCTAAATTCAATGGGCATTTGGCGAGTATGTCTCCAAAGATCCAGAGGCAACTCCACAGGAGCTATAGCAATCAATTCCATGGCTCATCACTCTATACTCCACTTCTGGATGGTCCTGTGACTTCTCCAGCTGTTTCTGAAGATATACCTGCTTTGTGCTTGGAAAACATTCATGAAGAAACTAATAAATTAGATTCTATGAATTTGGAGAAAAATATGGATGGTAGCACTAATGGTGAATTAGGGGTTGTTCTTGTACACGGATTTGGTGGTGGAGTCTTCTCTTGGAGGCATGTTATGGGATCTATTTCTCGACAAAGTAATTGCACTGTTGCTGCATTTGACAGGCCTGGCTGGGGACTAACATCAAGGCCTCGTCGAAGGGATTGGGAGGAAAAAGATTTACCTAATCCATATAAGCTGGATAGTCAGGTGATTAGTCCTTATGATTATTAGTGTGAGAAATGCATTCTTTTCTTCCTTGTGGTATTGAACAAATAACTAAGGTATTGGCCAAGCTCATGATTCATGATATGATCTGAATACTTCCCTTTTGGAACGGAGAGTCAACTTTTGGCTTCCTAGGCTAATGACATAGCATATGTTGCTATTATTTTTTCTTGTTCAACAGTGCATTAGTGGTTTTTTTTGCAAAAAAGGTATAAGGATGGTGTTTT